AAGGTCTTCGTCCTAAAACTTAAGCCTTAAGCTAAGCCGGATTACGCGAGTAGAGAGGCTCGATAACTAGAGCGGCCGAGCTACCTACTAGAGATAGTAGTATAGCGAAGGAAGGTCTTTAACTGCTTTTCCTAGCTATAAATTTTTTATATATAGTACCCTCTTATCTCGATAGTACTACCTTAGGACTATACTTAAAACCTCTAACTTAAGCTCTTATCGTCTAGATTAATATATCGTCGATATTCGGCTCGAGGGAAGCCGTAGCTTTTAGTAAGTAGTATCTATATATTAACGCCGTCGATATTCTCCTTAAGAGAAGCCGCCGCAATTAGTTTATAGTATCTACGTAATAGCGCTATACTAAAATGTTATATATAATCCGTATTATAATCTAGCCGGTCTAGTATTATTAAGTACTTTTCTAAAATATATATTTTCGTAGGCTACGATACGAGCGTATCTAACGCCTATTTACGAGAGGCTAAGGGTACAAGTAAGTAAGACCTTCGCTCTAATTAATCGAATACTAGAAGAATACTATATACTAGTTTTCTATAAAAGAGCGTATTTAAGAAATCTATCTCTGTATACTTAAATAAAGAGTAGTACCGGTTCGTTAATCTATATATAGTCCTATACTACGATTCGAGAAGGAGTAAGGGAACCTAGAAGGAGTTATCGTAAGAATCTAAACCCCTATCCTCAAGATTATTCTCTTAAGTCTAAGCCCCCCTCTAGGGCTCTATATTAAGAGTTATAATAAGTAATAAAATCGCGGGAGTAGGAGTAGGAAGTAACGTACTCCGTAAGCTTTAGACTCGGGATCGAGAACTATAGCGTAGCTTAGCGATTATAATAGCCGAACGCCGAACTTTATAAAGAAGGAAAGATATAGTAACTAAATAGAATATATCGGAGGGCAAAAAGGCGGTAACTTAAGTAGGCTAGAGGAGATTTAAATTTATAGAGATCTCTATATACTAGGATTTAAGGCGAAAATAGTATAGCGGAGGGCTAAAACGCCTAGTCTTAGCGAGATAGAGGGCGAAAAAACGCTCGAATTTAACTAAGGAACGCCGATTTTAACTAGTAGTATAGATCTCTAGGAGTAGTACTTACGCTACGCTAAATAAAGACTACCCGCTTTTCCTTATAGTACTTGCTATATTAGCTTTCTTTTAGAGAGATTATACCTATAGGCTATAGAATTTATAGCCTATACGAGCCGTAACTATAAGATCGACCCGAATCCGCCCTACTAGAGAGGTAGGTTCTAGCTATATTCGCCGCGGAGGTACCTAGAAAATTAACGTCGATACGAAGTCGTACTTTGTAAAATATTTGTTAAATTTGCCCGACGAGGAAGTTAAGGTCGGGTTAAATTCGCCTAGGTAGTAGTCGGATTCAACTCGAATCCGCCTAGGTAGTAGGGGGATTTGCTTCGAATCCGTCTAGCTAGTAGTCGGATTCGAGCCAAATTCGCCTAGCTAGGGGCTAGATTGCGGGGAAGTTTAGACCGTCGCCGCTTAGCGATTTACACTTCTATATACTACTCTATTTTATTCTAAGATACTACGTATAATTTTAGAATTATATAACTAGATACTATAAATCTTTCTATATAGAAACTAATATAATCGTATTATAGTATAGTACGTATTAATTTAACGAAATCCCGATATAAAACGCTAACTTTAAGCTAGGACTATATCTCCCCGCGAAGAAGTTTAAACCGACTACGCTTAGTAATTTATACCTCTATATATCGCTATATTTAATTCTATTCTATTATATATATATTTCGGATAATATAAGACGATATTAAGATTCTTTCTATATAAAAAACTATATAGTCGTACCGCCGTATCGTATATATTAATTCTATAAAGTACGAAATAATCTTTTATAAACCCTTTTTCCTCTACTAAGCTCCTTATATATATTCGTAATAACGCGCTATATTTATCTACTCGCCTTATAGTCTCTTCTACTCCTCTATAGAATATTATATCTCCTTATTATACGCCCTAATAGTGTTTTATAATTTGCTTACGTAAATGTTAAGGTTTTCGATAGGGATACGATTTAGTATACCTAGGTCTAGACGTATAAAAAGCTACCTAAGAATCGCCTAGTCTTTGTCGGTAAGTACTAAAGAAGCGCCGGTAGGATAAGACGTAACTATAACTCCTATATAAGTAAGGTTAGTATTTATAGCGGACGATTAAGATAGTATATAGTTCTAAATAGAAGATCTAGTCTACTCTTCGGTAGACTTTATTATACGCTATCTAAGACTCGTAAGTATTACTATAACTAATATAAAGAACGACTTAGACTTACTAGTATATATTTCGATAGGGGTAGGTTTCTATATTAATTATATTAGGGTATAGCGGACTAGAAGGAGGCGGTAGATCTAAATCGCGAGTAGAACTAGTAATAGGGGCGTATTACGACTATAATATACCCTCGCCTATACCTAAGAAGTATAAATTTAGCGCTATTTTTAATTATGCCTTATCTCCCGACTTAACCTTACTCTTACTATAGTTACTAAGTTAAGATTAAAGGGCTTAGTAATTAATAATATTAACCGTAGGCTCTATAACGCTATTCTCTAAAAGAGTATATACCCTATACGAGTTAGGAGTTCGACGACTTATAGAGAAGTAGGAAGATACGTAGCGTAGAGGCTATAGTTACGAGAGTAACTTACTAGGATATTAACTTCTTTTTAGATTAGAGAAAGGGCGATATATCTCCCGCCGCGCCTACGCTTAATAGCCTCTTCGGGCGTTAGTTTGTTCTCGCTATAGGTCTATAGTAGATAGATTAGTTAGCCGATTAATCCTTCTTCCTTAAGATTAAGCCCTCGGTTACCTTATCTTTAAGCCGTAGTCGCGACTACGTTAGGTATATCTACTATATAGAGTATTTAGATAGAGAGTAGAATAAAGAGGGCGATTTAGTACGTTTAGGAAAGCTAAGGACGGTAGTAGAGGGGTAAAGAAGCTAAAGGAATATATATTTAGAAGTAAGGCAGATAGCTATATATCTCGTAATCTCCTCTCTCTTAGTATCTATCTATATCTAGGCTCGGTCGGTATTCTTTCTCGTTATTTATATTATTCTTCTATTGCGATATAGTATTCGTTACCTAGCCCTAGGCTACTTAATCGTTATAAAGTCTAGATACCGCGATGAGGCGTATATACGATAGATATATAGAGCTTATAGAGAAAATAGAGTAGAGTAGAGGTAGGGTAGAGGGCGATATAGCGGTAGCAAGGTAGGTAGTAGATCTTATAAGTAACTTAGTAGAGTTAATAGAGGTAAGGCCGGAGGCCGGAGGTAGAGGCGATCTAACTAACTAACTTAGCGTTATAGTATAGGAAATAAGATATTCTTCTTCTTCTTCTTCTTCTTCTTCTCGCTATTTATAGGTATCTATACTCGAAACTTTCGGCTCGAATATACGAAAAGAGCTACTCTACTAGCCTATTATTACTCCTTTAACTACTAGCGACTTTTAGCTAAATCTCGGGTATCGGTATTAGTAACGTTCCGCTAACGTACTATTTTAACTAAACAGCCCCTATTTATATAGTATTCTATTTAGTATTTTAATAAAAAGCGGCTCTTATAGTATTATACTAAAATAGCCCTCTTTTACTAACCCTACCCTCTATATACTTAGTATACTTAGTATACTATAATACGCTTATTTTCGTATATAGACTAAACCCCGCTCTATCTCCTAGGTAGAGAATTTAGTAGGAAATACTATTAAATAGTTTCCTTAGTATATATATAAATAGAGATCTTCGTCTTTACCGACTCTTAGCTACGAAGAATAATATCCTTAAGGACCTTATAGCTATAGTCTATCTCGGTAGTAATACTAGCGCTCGACGTATAGATAGTACGCCGTAGTACTAAGGCTTTATAGAAGGTATCGCGTCTAGGCGGCTCTTAAGAATACGCTTTTAGGGGCACGTTATCGTTTTATTAATATAGCGGCGAACCGCCTTTAAAGACCGTATTATAACTGTCTGCTCTATAAGTAGCTATAGACTCGGTACCGTTATTAATCGCTTAAGAGTCCTTTAGATTAAATAGTAAGTCTTTATCTCCTTATATTACTACCTATATAACTACTTCTAATATAGCTCGTAGCTAGGTTAGAGGGTTATAGCTAAAGAATGCCTTAGAAAGGTATTATCCTTATAGCTAAGTGCTACGTATTACTATAGATCCGATAAGCCTCGTATACCGCTATAACCTACTCTATAAGACTAAGTTATAGCTTAATCGCGAGGATATAGCGTTAAGGGTTACCGTAAGCCTATTTAACGAGGCCTTAGGATTAAGAGCAATAAGGTATACTCTAAGCAATCTTAGTATTATAAGATAGAAGTAACTACTTATAAATACCCTTAAACTCCTTAGTATTATTTATCGAATATAATACGATAATACTAATAAAATAGGTAAAGTCCTATATATAGAAAGCTACTTCCGCGGACTCCTTCGAAGTAAGGGTATAGACTCGGTAAAACTTAGTCTAATAGTCCTTAATATAAGGGAGGTATAGAGAAGGGCTATTAGGGTCGCTTAAGAAGTTAATTGAATCTATTTAGCCTCGCGATAAGGTATATTTAGCAATAATATACTCTAGAGGGTCGCCTTTAGGTATTATAGATAGACCCTATACTAGTTCGGGTTTGTTTAATTTAGTTTACTAAGCCGAAACTCTAGTTTAGTTTAGTTTAGTTTACTAAGAAACCGGTATACGGACCGGGTTGCCGGCTACGTAGCGGCTACGGACAAAAACCTAACCTAGAATATATATATTACGGATAAGTAACGCGTTCGTAGATACTAGATATAAGACTTAATAGGTTCGATAAAGAGCTAAGTCTATCTACGTAAATCCGAATAACTTTGTACGGTACGCTAAGCGCTAAGTAGTAGATTAGAATCGTATAGGCCGAATGCCTAAGGCTAGTGCTTTCTACCTAGGGCGTAGCCCTTTATATTATTCCTATCCTCCTCCTTTCCTTTATAGGGATAGAACGCCCTTATAGTTTCTAGCGCTATTACCTTAGATATTAGATCTATACTTATCTAAGCTTTCTAAAGTAACGCGCTCGTAGTTTCCTTCCGCGTACCTAGGGTTTCCGCTACTTTCTAGTCGGGGTTGCTATATCTTAGGTTTTAGGTACTATTACTTTATTCGCGACTTCTAAGCCGCGCTCTTTTACTTACTAACCGCCTTCTAAAACGCGCCGTAACTGTTTTTTTAAACGCTTTACTTATACTCGCGCCTTTCTTCGCTTTTACGATCTTTACTTTTATATCGCTTTCTAGGAGTATTAATATTTTCCTCTTTTCCTTCTTCTTCCTCTTTTTCTTTATATTCCCCTACCCCTACCCCTACTACTACTACTACTACTATAGCAAGTTCCTACCCTATCTTTCGCGACTTCCTTCGTAAAATTAACTATTCTAAATAGGTCGTCGAATCTACTATAGTAGTTGCTATAACTCTAGCGAGGACTGCGCTAGTAAATCTATAAGGTAGCCGCCTCGTTCTTTATAGGATTCGCTAACTTTCTTTAAGCCCGCCGGCTTAAGGGCTTATACTAACTATACTCGTAAGAGAATCCCTTACGTTCTACTATAGGTTTTTCCGATTCCTATACTAAAACCCTCGCTAACTATTTAGTCCTTTAATAGCCTACGTAGCCTACCCTAGCTATATCCGTACGGCCCGTAGTAATGTCGCCGCTAAGTACGCTAACCTTCTTAAGGTCCTTAAGGTATAGAAGGCTCTAAAGTCTCTTTAGCTATAGGGTTTATTATCTAGGTAAGTTTTATTCGTTTCCTATAATAAAATTCTCGCTAACCTTTTCTTTTAGCGCGGTAGCCTCGGAGATAACGAATACCGTCGCTAATATCGTAGCTTAATAAACCTAGACGTAAGTGTTCTACAGATGTCCGTCGGTTTTCTAAGTTCTTATACTAACCTTTTCTTTTTAGGAGGGTTTTTACTACTCTTAGGCTCGGAACTAATCGTAATAGTCCGGAGGTATAAGAAGCTACTAATTAAGAGTTCCCGTAGGTTCTCTAGTAGGCTCTAGGTAGTTTCGGATATATTATTATATTTTTTTTCTATCCTAAGAGGACCTCTTAATTTTAGTCGGAGATCCGATACTTACTTATAAATACCTAAATAAAATCTTTCTCTACTCCTAAATTATATCTCCTTTTCTAAATCCCTTAAGTAAACGAAAACAATCCTTAAACAAACCAATTATTTAGTAAGACCTAAAAGGGTACTAAAATCCGTAAAATTTATAACTAGATAATCGTTACTCTACGGGAAAACTCTAGGTTACCGCCCTATTTCCTCTGCTTTCCTTTCTTCTCCTAGTCTCTTAAAGGTCTATCGTTCGTCTTAATTTGTCCACATTTCGCTTAAAAATCGTCTAGCGCTACGGTATCTATAATAGTATCTAGGGGTTCCTATATAGGTTTATAGTAACTACTCTACTTTACGAGCGCTTCTCGTTCTCTACCCCGTTTCTTTTTATAGGCGTATAGGATCTCCTCGACTTGCTATTCCTCGTACGTCTCGAATAAAATAGGGTCCGGCTATTCGTCGTCGATTTCCTAACCTAGTAGAGGGTCTCTACTCGCTAGTCTTAGAAGGTCGGTATAGAATACTAGGTAATTATTACTAGGAATCCTAGAGAGTCGTACGAATACTAGTAATAATACTTCTTCGACTATATACTTAGCGTATTTCGAGTTAAGGCTCTTCTTAGCTTAGGCCTATCGGTTTAGTAGTTCCTTATATCGAGCTAGACTTTATCTCCGACGCGATATACTAGAGCTAGGATCCTAGTTTTATTCGCGATATCCTCCTATTTTTACGCTACTTCCCCTATCTATACTTAATAAAGGTCCGAGATCTTCTTAATTTTATCTATAAATTCCTCCGCTCGTTTTGCCGCGTTTAACCGCCGGTCGATAGCTAGGTCCTCTTCTAGCGCTATAGGGAAAGTAGACTCGTAACCGTAAGTCGCGAAGAAGGAGCTTATTCCTAATCCCGCTTAGTGTCTCCCGTTAAACGCTAGTTCCGCTATAGGTAAGTATTAGTTCTAGTCGGACTATATTTAGTTAATATAGTTCTAAAGGGAAGCCTATATATCTTAATTTACGCGTTCTAGACCTCTATCGGTTTACAGGTAGTAAGCGGAGCTTAACCTTTGCTTTATACTAAGTAGTCGATATATTTCTCTCTAGAACGTACTTATCTAATTCGTACCTCTATCGCTAGTAATTGCTCGGAATAGTCCGTAATACCTAATCTAGTATTTTAGGAAGAAAACTACGTATTCCTCCGCTTTTATAGAGGGAGTACCGATAAGGGCAATCTACTTACTAAGGCGGTCTTTAATTACTTAAAGGTAGTAGTTTCTATCGGACTCCGGTAGGTTAGTTATAAAGTCTATCGAGATTTCCTAGAAGAAACGGTCGGGTACCGGTAGTAGTTTTAGGAGGCCGTATTTATATTCTCTCTATACTTTATTACGTCTACAGTAGTTATAGTTTCGTAGGAATTGTCGTACCTATTTTAACTATAGCGGCTAGTAGAAGTTGCGACCTAGTATAGAAGCGGTAGAATCCCGGCCTAGGTAGCCGTAAAGTAGTAAGTCGTAGATCGACTAGATAATCTTCGTATATAGTATATCCTACTAGAGTTCTTTAGATCCTATATCCTTATATTTAGCCTCCGTCGTAGCTAGGGCTCCTAGAACCTAAAGCTTGCCGCGGTAGCGTAGGAACCCCTTAGGGTCTATCGTATAGTCTCTAATCTAAATCTTTGCCTTAATTTCCGGCTATAATATCCTATATCCTTCCTAGACTTTCTATAATACCGTCTAGTATACCGTATCCTTCTTAACTATACCTTTCTATAGGTCGTTTACTTCTAGGTCTTAGAATAGTTTAGTACCTTCTAGCGGGGATTACGCGGGCTCTATCTCGTTCGTAAGTAGAGATAGCGGGCTCGCCTCGGATACGCGTAGGAAGTTTTAAATCGTAGTACTAGAGATTTATACGTTTTCCGGCTAGTTTAGAGAGAGATCCGGTTCTAGGAATCTTCGGAACCTCGAAAGCTTATCGTCTTAGCCTAACGTATCCTATTCTCTCCTCGATAAGGTATCCGGTAGAATAGCCTCGACTCCTAGCTAGTAGACTAGGGTAAACTAATATTTAGCTAGTTCTTCCTATTATTAGATCTATCTCTCGGATAGTTCACGCTTTACTATAAAGTATTCTAGGTTCTTATAGTCCGTCTAAATCGTAAAGGGACTATACGACTTTAGCTTAGAATCCTAAAACTTAATACTAGATATAACTACGAGTATCTCCTTATTATAAATATTATAGTTAATCTCTACCTTATTTAGTTTCTTTAAAAAGAAGCCTACCGGTTGTCGGATCCCGGCCTTTTCTTAGATAAAGGCGCCTATAATCGCGAACCCGCTATAATCTATTTCGAGGAAGATAGGAAGGGACGGGTCCTACTAGGTAAGTACCGGGGTACGGTAGAATTTGTCCTTTAGCGTCTTAAACGCCTTATCCTACTCTTCTCCCTAGGAGAACGGGGTGCCTTTACTAGTAAGCGCGGTTAATAGTATAGAGATCTTAGAGTAGTTTAGTACGAATATATAGTAATAGTTCGTAAATACTAAGAATCGACGAACTTCCTTTTAGGTCTTAGATACTACCTACTTTTATATAGCTTCTACCTTTTCGGGATCGGCTAATATCCCTCCTCTATTAGCATAGACGATAAACCCTAGATACTTAATCTTTTTCTAGGCGAACTCGCTCTTCTTTAAATCGAGGTAAAGGCCTCCGTCCTAAAGCTTCTTAAGAACGGTCTTTATCTTATAGAAATAATCTTCCCTTATACCGCTCGAGTAGATTACTACCTCGTCTATATACGCTAACGCGAAATCGTCTAGATACTCCTATAGGAGAGTATTAATATACCGTTAAAACGTTACCGGGGCTCCGGACAAACTAAAAGGGTATACTAACTACTCGAATAAACCTAACCTAGTACAGAGGGCCGTTCTATACTCGTATCCCTTTGCTATCCTTATCTTATAAAAGGCCGAGACTACGTTAGCCTTAGTTAACTATTAGGCTTCCGTTAGGTTTCTTATAGTATCTAGGATTAGTAGAAGGGGATACCTATCGTATTTCGTAAGAGCGTTAAGCGCCCTATAGTCGTAGTAGAACCGAAGTCCTCCTTCGGGTTTCTTAATAAATAGTATAGGCGCCGCCGCTTCGGAGTTCGTAGGTCTTATAAATCCCTTCTCTAAGAGCTCGTTAAGTAACTTTCGTAAGACTAGGAGCTCTTATTTCGATATACTATAGAGCTAGCCCTAGGGGAGCTGCGGCTAGGATCCGTCTAGTTTTTTACGAAGTTCTATTGTGTAATCGGTACTAGGACGGTAGGGCGCTAACTTATCGCTGTTCCTTTAATAGAGTAGCGCGACTGTGTCGCGAACCTCTAGGGATAGTTTCTTCTTTAGCTCCTTAATCGTAGGGTATTCCTTTGTCTTTAGGGCTTTCTTAATATCCTCGGCGATTATCGCGGTAAGTAGGCCTCTTATAGCGTCGATCGTAGCGATATTCCCGCTTATATCGAATTTACAGTAATAGCGCCTTTCTTTAACCTAATGCCGAGCCCTCCTATAGTAGTACCGTCGCTTCTTAGGTATAGTCCTAACCTTATTATATACCTTCTATAGGTTGCCTAAGATAAGAGGGAAAGCTAATCCTAGTACGACGTAAGCGTATATCGTCTATCGGAACCTATTAATTTCTATTCGAAAGGCGACGAATCTAATAATTTTCGCCTCTTATATTATAGACGACGCTTCCTTTATCTCTCGAGACTTACGGCTAATATAGCTAAGCTCGAGGCCTTTAGCTAGGCTAGCGTTAATTATAGCGTAGTACTAGTATCCTTCGTTAATAAGAGTAGAAGTTCCGACGTTATTTTCGAGGACTATATCGGTATATATAAGGTTCCTATTTGTATCCTTTTTAACTTCTTCCTTTTTCTTTATCTATACTTTATCTACTTTCGACTTCTAACTATAAGCGAGAGTTACTCTTTTCCCGAATCGGAACTACTTAAGTCCGACTATTCTTCCGCGTCCTCTAGTATAGAATATACGAAGGCGATACTGCTCTTAGTAGGCTAAACCGCCGGTACGTACGGGTAATCGCGAATATAGTATCTACTCGCTCTATAGTATAAGTAGAGCCTTTTCTCCTTACGTTTCTCTCTCTCTATAGAGTCGACCTATTTAGCTCTAGACTTTCCTATTATTCCTTATTAGCCTCTATAGTTCTTTTTATAGAAAGCCTTCGTTTAGGTAGGGTTTATAACTATATTCCCGTTAGAGTCGACCTTCGAGTTCGCCGTAAGAGCCGTATAGGGTAGGATAACGACTATAGGGCTCGTAGCGTCTTTCTTCCTTTCTTACTAGCGTTTAGCGGCCTACTTAAACTAGTCCGTCGTCTCGAGGTTCGTTATAATTCGCTCGACTTCCTCTATATAGAGATAGTAATTCTTAATTTTTAGTACGACGGCGGTATAAGTCTTAGCCGCGTTCGAGAAAGTATTCTTTAAGTACCCGATTTTTATATCGTTAGTCTAACGGTCTCTACCTATACTTAGTAGGAGGCCGTCGACTTCTAGCTAGTAGTCGTACTAAGGTTATTCCTAAGAATACTTTAGAGCTTAGAGTTACTCTAGCGCCTTCGTAGCTTTATTACTATCCGCGAAGACGTCCTCGAGTTACTAGAAGAAAGCTTCGGGGTCCTTTCCTTTATAAGGCTTCCTCTTTCCTAGAAGTAGCGTATCCTAGCGTATTCCTTTACCGGAAGGATATCGTAAATAGTATCCTAGGAGTAATCCTTAGGGAGCTTCGGTTTTAGCCTAGAACGAACTCGATACGAGCTTCTTAGTCGTAGTAGATAGTCCCGGAACGACTTAGCCTTTCCGTCCTATAATAGTAGCTTCTATTCGCGTAACGCTATTACGTTTTAGCCGGTAGCCGAGAGGGTTTCTAGGAGTCCCTTTAGGATCTCTTTCGTAAACTAGTCTTATATTATATTAGCTTCGGTAAACCCGGCCTAGCGAGATACTTTCGCGTATTAGAGCGCGGAGCGCGTAGCTTATAGCTAGGCTTCTATCGTGTATTACCTAGTATAGAGACTCTCGAAGGTACGATAAATCTTATCCCTAGTTATCTCTAGCGTAGTAGGAATAGCGTTCCCCTAGCTATCTTACTTAGGTTCCTAACGAACCTTAGCGTTTCCTATAATAAAGATTAAACCTAATATTACGGGTAAGTAACTCGTATATAGATACTAGATATAAGACTTAATAGGTTCGATAAAGAGCTAAGTCTATCTACGTAAATCTAAATAGTTTTATACGGTACGCTAAGCGCTAAGTAGTAGGTTAGAATCGTATAGGCCGAATGCCTAAGGCTAGTACTTTCTACCTAGGGCGTAGCCCTTTATAACGTATAAATAGCCTGAAATAGAAATATAATTATATAGCGTATATAATATAGGGCCCCCGTCGCGATCCGGACTCGATCCGTAGTCGTCGTATATCGTCGTATATTATCGTAGTTTAGTTAGAGTTTCTTAGAAATTAGCTTAGACTAGCGGAGTAAAAAACTAAACCGGAACTAAACCGGAGGGGTACCGCTAAGAAACTAAACTATATATGTTTTAAAGTTCGTAAACCGAACTACTATAGGGTCTAATTATAGGTTATATACCGAGGAGGTTATAGACGTAGTAGTGCTTTAAAGGCTCCTAAATGTCTTTCTTTATAATACTATAGAAGAGCTAGTTTACGAGGTATAATAGCTCTATAATAAGCGTATTTAAAGGTATAGTGTTTAGTTATTAATACGTAGGAATCTCGTACACTTAAATAATTTTCCGAGAAGCAGCGTCTACCTTCCTTTATATATATAATTGTATATCTTTAGCGTTATTTCTAAACCTCCTTTAAGCCTATACCTTCTTATTATAGTCTTGCCTTATAAGCGTACCGTATCTAGAGTTGTTTCTAGGGTATTTATTATCGATAGTAATCTACTAGGGGATACGAAGATAGCGCTCCCGACTAATTAGTATCTTATCGCGTCCTTTATCCTTCTTCTACTAAATATATTACTAGAAAGCGACCTTCGCCGCTAGCGGAAACAGATCGACGCGATCCTCGATATTACTTTTAAAGGAGGGTACTAATACTAAAGATAGTAGTCGTAGCGGAAGGGCTCAGATAGGCGTATTACGCTAGAACTAAAGATTAAATCGAGCGGTAGCTAGAGAGGCTACTAGCAAAGTAGGTTACTTTAATTTAAGCGGAGCGATAGATTTAATAGGTACCTAGAGTAACCTAAGCGAGCGAAGCGAGTAAATAGTTATAAAAGATATCTAGTAGATCTAGCGTAGAGCTTTAGAACAAATTAGATTAGTATAGAAAGGCTAAAATTTAAAGATACGCCTATAAAGAAAAGCGGCTTCTTTTATTAGTCGGAAATTCGAATTATAATTACGTATTAAATCCTAAGGTAAGAATAGGTCTGCTTTACGTTACTAATAACTAAAACAATAATAATAGTCTTTATCGCAATATTATATAAGTACTCTTAGCGCTAATCTAATTTTATTCTTAAGCTCTACGCCGTCGCTCCGCTCGAATAGAATAAGTACTATAGGGCTTAGACGATACTTTGTATAGTAGATTCGAGCTAATATATTCCGGAGTTTATAAAAGGGTAATACTACGATATTATATTACCTTTAGATAGTAGATTAATCGGTATCGAAGTAAAGAATACTACTATTACTACTCTAACGTTATTATTAGTATATTTAGGTATATTATTATAGCAAAATAAGAGTTATAGGGATTAGTTTCTATAGCCCTAGTAGGCGACTTAAAAAACCTAGTTTATATAGTATACTATATATAGGCGTACCTTACCCTAAATAATACCTTCTATAACTAAATAATATCTAAAACCTAACTAAATTGCGCTATTTTAATAAATAGGTATACGAGAGTAAAATAGGGCTTATCTAATTAATTCTAGCTAACGAAATAGGCTTGTTTTGCTAAACCGACGTAGATTTAATTAACGACTAACGGGCGTTAATATCGGCGTATACTCTAATATAATCGCAATATCTTTACTATTATTATTATTTCCACTATTCTCGCTATACGTATACTATATCTACTTCGATATAATCGTAGTATCCTTACTCTCCTTCTCGCTATATAGATACTATATTAACTCTAATATAATCGTAGTATCGTCGTTATTATTCTCGCTACGTATATACTATATTCGAGTACTCCGATACGCCTCTAAGCTATCGACCGTAATAAATATCTTACTTCTTGTCTATACTATATCGAAGATATAACTGCTATAGCGTAGTAATAGGAGCTAGGTTAGGCAGTTAATAGCGCCGTAATTCGATCTTGCTAAACGTATTCTAGATAGATCTGCTAAATGCTTTCGCTAAGTCGCCTCCGGAGCAAGTAAGCTTAGTCTCCTAAAACTCGACTGCGGACTTAGGCAAGTAACTGTAGAGCGCTAAATGATCAGGTACTAAGGGGAGTTTACGGCATCGATGTCCCGTTGCTGCGACCGCTACCTAGATCTCCTCGAGCTCACTATTGCACTGCCTTATTGTTGCCTCGGGCTTCGTTTTCGTCGTCTTCTACCTCCTCAAAGACTGCTCCTATACAGCGCCCGCCGCAAATGCCGCCTCGTAACCAAATAACCTAATACAGCATAACTGGATCTCTGCTCGGTGTAGCAACCAACTTGGTCACATCTTGTTCACGTCTCGTCTACCTCCTTATCTCTCTCCCATCGAGCCCTCTGCAGCAGGCGTTCACAGCGCTCAAGCCAACCCTTCTCGCGCTCCCAATCCAGAACAATGGCTTTGAGTGACTCCACCAAAGGTCCCCGATGCGATTTACAGGCCTGGAGTACCTATTCCAGTTTGCCAAACTGCCTATCGAAGTGCAGCAGCTCCAACGACACATTGCTGAACATGCTCCCCACTCCCTCCTCAATCTCTGCCAGAAGCGCTGGCGCTGGACGTCCTACGCACCCCACCACCGGACACGATGGGTCGAAGTGATCAGCTGGAGGCACCCTGATTCCCGCCGGTCGTCCTTCTCATGTCTAGGAACGAGTCGAGACTGCTGAGGCTTCGGCGTTTGGACTGCAGTAACTCCAGTCCTTTGGCTTGTGCTCCAGGTCTGCTCGGGCTCTTCTGGGGCGGCGTGCTGGAGATCAGTCCTCGACAGTGAGGTGCTCATCGTCGGCTGCTGGATCTCCACTGGCTTTGACTCGCCTCGAGATGAAGCTGAGGACTGCTGTGCCACTGGCCGTTTGATCCCAGCACCTGAGCGACGGCTGTTCAACGCTGGAAGCTTGTCTGTAGGCTGCGATGCTAGAGGCGATATCGATGTCGATTTCTGGATGGTTTTTAATATTGAGAGAGTGTCGATATGATCTTCTTTGGCCTTCGCGAAGCTGGTAGATCGTGCTGTCCTTTCTGCTTGAGCCGAACTCGGAGTTCCCGGCTTTTTCTCAACCACATCAACCATGACGTCTTTCTGAACACCTGATGGATCTGACCAAGCACCAGAGTGGTTCCAAGCGTAGCCTGTAGCATAGCGCAGATGATCAGAATCAGATGCCACCGGCGGTCACTGCGCTGCATTCCTTGGGAGATACTTCGGCGAAGGTAAAGGCACTGGAGGACCCGTGACATGGCTTGCGAGCTGTGGCGATGGAGAAGGCGACCATCTCTCCGCGAGAGGAGGGGAGCTCTTCCACGATAGAGTCTTCTCTTCCAATGCCAGCTTAGAGGATCTCAGCGGCCATGGTCGGCTCGGCGTGTGCAGCTGGGCTGTCCCGGTGCTAGCCACTCTTGGTCTCGGGTCCTTTGTAGGTGTCGAGTGTGGAGTGCCAGCTGGCGAGGAGTCCGGTGTTATGGCCATATCACGTTGTGGAGGAGGACGCGAACGAGGTGAGATTCTGAAGACGGAGACGTCAGAGAATTCGGCATACTTGGGCGTGGCGTCCGACAGGCAGTATCAGAAAAGCAGAACCCAGATTTTGAACGCAGGCTTCACTTCTGTACACTTTTCTTCGCGGGTGAGAGCTTGCTCGCACTCGTAGAGTTTTCGAATTTCTCTATCTCCCTCCCCAATACTACACATCTGATAAGTTTTCAGGCTGATTTCGGGGATCAGATGTGGCTATACATCAAGCTCGATTCAATTCGCAAAGTCAACGAGGTTTCTTACCCTCGGCTGGACAAGGACACAAAAAGCACTTCAATTCCTCCCAAAAAGAACAAAACATCTTTTGTGTTCGATACGTGCACTACATTAGCAAATCACACTCCCAACTCCATCCCTCCGTCCTTCTGTCTACCCATTGATGTCTAAACTTTGCGCGGAAAGATGGAGAGATTTGGCGAACAGTGGCTGGAGATGCGGGCACAAAGGATTGTGTTCTTGATCATGCACGACGAGTTGGTAATGGAAAGGAAAGGTTGAAATGAAGTCATCTACATTGCATTAGGCTTGCCAGTAGTTATTACAGTGTTCGTGAATGAGCTTGCATTGCGCATCTCAACCAAAAAGCATCATGTGTCGGTTGGGGACCTCCTCATTGCCGCCCAAATCCTCCATTGCTATGCTGCGCGATCTGGCGAGCGGGAAATGCGCACCTCAATCAAAAAGCACCATGCGCCATTTGCGATCCTCCTCATTACCGCCCAACTCCTTCATGGGATCGTCACATCATCTGGCAAGCTGGAAATGCGCGCCTCAGCCGAAAAGAATTTTGTCGCTTGGGTCCGTCTCATCACAGGCCAGCGCAGTCATGGCCTCGCCTCGCCACAACTGAGCACCTCAGCCAAAAAGCATCGAGTCGTTTGACTCCGTCTCATCGCAGCCCAGCTCCTTCTTGGCCTCGTCACACCATCTGGCAAAGTCGCTCTGAACGTTGCTGCGGAACAGGTTCAGCTCATGTGTGAGATGGTCAATCTGACCATTCAACTTCATCATGACGTCCTTGATGTAATTCCACCCGTTCGACTCTCGCGAATCGCTAAGCTCCTCAATCCTGCCACGTAAACGCTCAGCTGCCTTCTGCAATTCGTCAACGACACTCGGAATGGAGCTGAAATTGGTGATGCCCTTCTGTACACCTTCCAGCTCTTGCTGCAGCTTCTGACGCTCAGCAGGGGCGTCAGGCGAGGCGGCTGAGACAGCAAGGTTCTTGAGGACCTCGGCGGCAATGATGACAACCAGTCGTGAGTTGTCGGCAACCAGGGTCCATTCAGTGCTGAGGTTCTGGCTTTTTCGGAAAGCGCTCAGGGTGGTGTTTTCGAAAAAATGGTGCAGCAACTCGACATGTGTTGTCGAAGGCCCAGGCAGTGAAAGCGTGGCCGGATTGATCGTCCAGCTGGAATTGGGCAAGTCGGCAATTCGGCAGCGATCGAGCACTGCTTGCTGTGTCGTAGGACTGCCTGCCCTGAACTCGTGCGCGACCCGAATGGCTCTTCCCCATACCGCAGGAATCATCCGCTCAAGCTTTGTGGCGAGTTTGCGCGTCTGCATGCCGAGGACGCCTGTGATAACGCATGCGGACAGGATGCTTGCTTCAAGGCCATGTGCTGTTACGACATCCTCAGATCTCATGGTCGGAGGTGCCTTGTGGGATACGTTGGGCACATGGGCCGTCAGGGCACTCTGGAGGATCCGAAAGCTGTCGTCATCAGCATAGATGTTGGTTCTTGCGTGGTGTGGCGAGCGATCGACGAAGACAACTGGAATTTGCTCCAGTGCTTGGTCCTGGATGACGATGATGTGCTGGCTGCCGGCGGCCGGGGAGGCATTCTGTATCCATTCGGTGATGTCGGAAACGGTGCAACGCCTCAGGGAAGTGTGTGGCTCCAGAATGGTAGAGAGAACAGCAATCCACGAGCCCAGATGATCTAGAGTGAGCGGCTCAGTGTGTGGGATGGCTAGATGACGACTTGGATCCAAGCGATTAGAGTCTTGGACGAAGTCGGAGGAGTCTCGACGGGGGCGTTTGGACAACGCTTTGGGCTGCGTGGCGCTTGCCATGTTCGTTGAGCCCTGCGTGGTCGGATTGGAGGCGCTGGCTGGCCCAGCACCGAGCGATGAGGACTGTGTGACGCTTGCCATGCCTGGTGAGCCGTGTTCTGACGAAGTGGAGGCGCTGGATGGCCGCCGGGAGGAGCGACAAGGCGTACCATCGAACTGGAAGAAGGGTGCGGCGTCAGGCTCAGAGGATGCCGGACTGAGCGATGAAAGAAGTTCGGAGTCGGTGGGACCCGCGCCAAGTTTGGGAGTCCCTTGATGGGTGGTACGTGTCTTTGGGTTCAGGAAGTTCGGTAAGCTGAAGTCGAGGGCGGGGGAAAGCGACGAGCGACGCGGCTGACGTAATCTTCGGCCACGCTCAATCGAGAGTGACGACCTCGAGCTATGCTGCTGATGCAAACCTCGTCCACGCTCGATGGACCTTGACAATGGAGAGATGTCGGAAAATCTTCGTCTTCTCTTCGCCTTACTGTTGGGAAGAGGAAGCTGCTTCGGCGTCGTTGGCGCGGTGTTGGTTCCTGGTGCTCTGTGGTCTCTGCTGGTTCTGGCCTTGGCTCCGTCCTGGGTGTTGGGATCATCGCTTTCCTCATCCGTATCTGCATCCGAATTGGAGGCGGACGTCGCTTGCTCCGCGTCGTGTGATTTCCCAGAACCGCGAGTATCTTCTTGCCCTGAGGTGAGATTCCGGGCTTTGTTCGCATCTTGCTTCCGCTTCATGTTGAGCGCCATGTCCAAATCTTGCGGCTTCCACTCATATTTGCTTTTTGAGACTTTCATGCGCGTCTCTCTTGCTTCTCCCATGAGCGCGAGCGCGTCCTCGGCATTCTCGAAGTCGGCTGCCAAAGCGTTCAGTTTGTCCAAGAATGTTCGACTTGTTGCGCCGCTGCTCCCAAACAATCCCCAGACGTCGAATACGGACAAGTTCCAAAAGTCGGAGCGCTCAAGCGCACGCGCGCATTGGAGAGTCTTTTTGTCCTTGATCTCAGCTGTAATTGCCTTTTGAACCTTGTCACACGTCTTGACATCCATAAGCTCCTTCATCTCGCTCGTCGCATTCCGCGCGCCGTTCGCTACCAACTTCCACCATTTGCGGAATTTGGCAAGTCCGGAGTCAGAGTCGCCAGCATCAATCTTGCGTACGATGCCACGGCACTGCTTGCGGGGGGATGGGAGTTCTGGACTCTCCGGTCGCTCGTCTTCGCTGGAGGAACTCGAAGAGCAGCTCGGCGGCGAGCTTATGGTAGGTCTGCGCCTCGCCATTGCTTCGATGCTGGGTCGGAGTGGAGGGTGACGGACGGACGTGTTGGGTTCAGCTTCGCGAATTGGCGCAATTGGATGTTCCAAGCGAGATGTGAATGTAAAGGTTATCTACTCGCGAGTAGAAGATGCAGCAGAGGTAGATAGAAGAGTCGACATAGCAGGGCGCGAGTCTTGGTTGCGTTGTTGTGGAAGGTGTAGAAAGTGTAGAAAGTGCCCGCGTCGGTGGATTCGGCCCAGCTTCAAGCCAGAATCAAGCCGCACGTCACCCAAAGTCGGCGGGGAAAGCTTGGCGGACATTTGGAGAAGGTGCACAGCATGATATGGACGCGGTTGTGAGCGAATCTTTATAGAATGCCATGGCTGTCCAGTCCTGCAAAACCTTTTATGCCGTTGCTTAGGATTTCTCCGTGTTTCGTTTTGCGAAAGGCCTTCGGTACGCAGCTGTGCTTGCAATACAGAAGAAGCCTTCTACACCCCGCATACATGACTCAAGACCTGGCTCACGGTCGGGCAATTCTGATTCGAGACTTCAGACTGCAAACCTGACCGGCTGTTGGGCGATTTTCAAGCTTGCCCAACCAAAATCGCCCAGCCTCTGTCCAGGTTTCAGTCATCATCCTGACCTGCCTGGCTTCGTGCGACGTAACATTCTTGCAAGGCGACAAAGTATTCTTGCGACGAGACATTTTGGTAGCGAACACATTGAGTGCAGCCGCCGTGTATGTTGAGCGGGCGTCAATGCATTACTCCGAGTCACTGGAAATCCAAGCCCGACCTCGAAGTCTTGCTCACATTGCACGCGCATTGACAGTACCTCTGCGCAATGCATCAACATCATAACCATGCCACCAAAGAAGAACACCGCCGCATCCAGTTCGTCGTAGAATGCAGTCGTCTCACCACCCCCCGCGGCGACTACTGCAGCGCAGCGTATCATCCCACCTGCTGCACGCTGCAGAACTCCGAGCCCCAAGATTGCGCCATCCAAGCCTCAGTGACTCTGATCCATTGGTGCATGATCAAGAATGACCCAGACTGATCCATTGCAGCTGCGGTGAAGTACACCGAGTCTTCTCTCCACTGCCACCGGCCGAGCGACAGGTGGTTTTTGTACGTTCATCACGCGATATGGTGCGATGCGATGCTCATGAGATGACACATGGCTTGCAACCTGCCCGTCACTCGCTTTCCTCGTGATGGAATTGCCGTACCGGGTGCACGTTTCCTTCATCGTTTGCGGACATGTCTTTGGTTATGCTTTCATCAAGCCAAAACCCTGTTCACACCCCGCATCACTGCAGTGGCTGCTCACCATGCTGACTGACTTCGCTTCCCCACGCCTTCGCCCGCCCGAAGCATCGCGAATTTCCATGTGCGTACTGCTACGCCAGCGAATGCTGATTCTCTACCCAAGACCAGAACCTGCGATCGAAGCCAGCCCTGCTGCTCTCACCCCGTCATCCACCCTGGCGCAATGAGGTAATGGTGTGATGGCAACAAAGCCTGAGCCCTTGACAACAGCTCTTCGGGTCTGCCAAGCTCTCGATACCAGACTCCCAGCCCCACCAAGACGCCAGACGCTTCATGCTCCGCTGCTTATAGGTGCCGGCGCTTCGAGCTCGTGAGGCAGTTCTCCTCATCCCGGGCGACCTCTCTCTCCAGCCCAAGTGGAGGGGCACTCTGCTCCTGCCTTCCACAATCAGCCGATCACCGCAATGCAAAGTCGATGGAGATGTACAGATCTCTCTTCGTTCAGGATACCGCTGCTGTAGTTGGCTCAATGCTCTCCGTACTTCGCTCAGACCTGGATGTCATCGGCCCGAATTTGCGGCAAGCTCTCGGTCTCAAGTATGGAAGCCACCAAGCTCGGCTTTGACCAAATTTATTCAGCCATTGCTGACGGCAGCACCGTTCATCTTGTCCACGGGACAATCTTTCACATTGTTGTTTGTGGCATCACGAGGGGAATCTGGGCTGTGATTTGACTTACGAGCCATCACATTGAGAACCGGAAGTGGACAGAAACAGCACAATTCGCTTTCGACCTGGCTAAGAAATAGGCAGTCAACACCACCAACCATCACGTCCACGATCCGGCAGAGCCGTGCAAGGCATTCTCAGATGCATCAGCAAAGAGATGCCGGATTTCGCAAAAGTACAGCTCCTAGGAAGTCACGAAATTGGGAGTGGCTTTTGCCTATTGCATACATAGTTGTTAAATACTGAGTACTCACTAGTCAGCGCCTGTAATCACAATCATAGTTAATAATAAGTGAATAATCAGTATTTATAGTCACGTAATTATATAATCAGTACCTAGTAATGCTTAGGGTTAAGAAGGAGATAGATTTATAAGCCGTCGTCGTTGTTGCTAGCACCTAAGACTAAATATAAGGCTAGCAATAGCCCTTCTTCTACCTCTTCTAGTATAGCTAGTTCTAATAGTACCTTAGCAACCCCTGTTCTTGTCTAGTTCTTCGAGCACTCATTTATACGAATATAGTCGCTACTTATACGTATACGGTCCTATCTAGTAGTACGGCGGCTTATACTAAAGGTCCTCTCTAACTTAGCGGATATAGCGAAGGCTAACAATGTATTAATAGCTAGTTACTATAGTGCTAGATCGCAGGTCTTCCGCTATTAAACCTACTAGTCGATAGGGCTTATAAGAATAGGCTTCTCGCTAACTAGTAGCAGTGCTATTAGACTAGTATAAATGAAGGCTTCGAAGGGGTTATTATTAGTAGCAACTAGGTTAGTTTGAGACTTAATTTGCTAGCGCTCGAGGTCCGATAGTCCTTCAAATAAGCGCTATAGCGTAGCTAGTAGTTAACGGCTATTTCCGAAGCGTATCTTATAGTCCTTCTAAAGCGCTATAGACTGTAACAAGGTAGTGTCTATGTCTACTACGGAGCGGCCTCTAAGCTAGGCAAGTCGTCGGCTTAGATATAGCAATACTATAGTAACGTAGAGAGGGCTCTTTTAGTTAAGGATATAGTACTTGTCGAATAGCGTCCTTGCTATATTAATAGACCTAATAAGGACCGTCCGGTAAGCGTTCTCGCTAGCTAAGCGTATAAAGTAGCTTCTTAGGTATTCTATAGACTCTTAATATATATCGAATGTAACAGTATAGCCTTATAGCCGAAGAGTGACCTCTTTAAAGGGACTAAGAAACCTCCGTATATAAGCTAGCACCTTCTAATCGTCCTCGGATAGGCTAAACTCGCGTAGGTACGGCATTCTGTCGAAGAAGGTGTTTAAAATCGGCCTTGTTTAAATAGCCTCTTCTATTATTAGAAGCTAACTATTCTAGCGTGTTTTACCGGGGATCTTTAGCACTGTATATAGCAGTTGTAGCTAGGCTTTATAGACCTCTTAGAAGATGTTGTTATAGTCGTTCTTCCGTAGAAGCTTAGCGAGTATAAATAGCCGTTGTAATAGTCCTTATTTAACGAAGCACTCTACGTCTATATCGAGCTACCTCGATATAGAGATATTGTCGCTATCGTTGCTAAGCACTATTTAATCAAATTCCTCACTTTTAGCGGCCTCTACGTCCTTAGTAAATATAAAGGCTATAGTTACACGATTGAGAATGTAACTAATATAGCGGAGGCGGCGGTTCTTCTACGAGTAGCCTTGCGAGTCTATAAAGCGCTTAATAGTAAGACAAAGGGTGTTATTATTAGAGCCGCTATTAGTCGTTATCTAGCTAAGCCTACTATTAGCAATCTCGAAGGTTGAGAAGCAAGGCAAGACGCTCTCGGCAAGGAAGTTACTAGTATAAGAACTAGGCGGAAGTTGTAGTAAATCTAGCAGTATTTAGACTAGTTAACCGCGTAGATTAATATACTAGCAATTAATCGCCTAGAAGAACTTATAGCCGTACTGTAACTTCTATATATTAGTATAGAAGTGAAGACAGCTAAGTGCTTCTAATAGTACTATCTTAACTCGTTCTCGCTAGCTCTCGAAGTTGTATAGAACACGAGGATATAGTAAGGTATAGCTCTTTAGAAGTACGCTTTCTACGTAAGGATTAACCGCTAATATAAGGTCTCTAAATTCCTTCGTAACTAGTACGTTGTAAGGAATGCTGCTAGCTGTAGCATAGCGAGCGAGAGCGTACCTAAACTTGTCCTTATCGGCGGCTCCTTATAGGATATTAATAGTCTTGTCCGAGTTAATAACGCCTTACTTCTTCTATAGCGCCGAGAGGTCAATCTATGTCTGTTTCTTCTATTAATAATTGCCTTCGAGCTTCCGTTTCTTAATACCGACAAAGATAAAGTACTTCTTAGCTAGGTACTAAGGCGCGTTACTAGAATTAGAGGCGTACCGGTTAGGGTCGTTATCGTTGTAGTGTCTACAGTAGAATACCTTATACCTGCCTCTATCTACTTTTAAAGGCTTACTATCCTTTAGTGCTCTCGTATACTCCTATAACGCCGGATCTAGGCGGTTCCTACCTTTCCTTCTCTTTCTTAACTCGGCGAGTATCGGTATCGGTATCGCTATCGCTATCGACTGTACTATATTCGAGGACTACGAGGTAGACTAAAGGAATAAGCTATCGTCTAGTATTAGAGACGGCGGCTTATTAGCTTCGGAGGTTAGAATGTCGCTTAGATCGCTCGAATCTTTACGGAATAGTATCCGATCTAGTAGGTCGCTTTCCCGTCTCGATGCCTAGGTATTTATATAATTTTCTAGCACTTTCTAAGTTGGTTTATATATCTTACGGAGGTTATCTCGCATCTCGAAGGTATAGCTGTCTTGAATTAAACAATAAAAGTCGAGATTTGAGTTTGCTAGCGTACGGCTAAGCCGTACGGACCTTGCCGTCCGTACTAAGCGACGCTTTCCGATTAGGCTTAGCTAGACCCTAAGGGCTAATATAACGCAATCTTTATAGGCGCGATAGTAAGCTTAAATACTATTCTTCGACTAATTCTATACCTAATTAACAATAATAACCTTATTGTCGCCCTTACTACCCTCGCTATCGATTATACGGTATAGTACCTTATCGATACGAGCCTTAAAATATACCTGTCGTAGCGGACACTACGATTTTAGCCCGAGAAAGCACTCTTCGGAGTAGATACACCTCCTTCCGAATTTGAAGTAACGACGAGAGCCTAGTGCTATCCGCCTGCCCTTCCGTTCTATACCTTTATATACCTTCTAAAGGCTATTAGTAATACGCTCTTAGTAGTTACTAGCCCTCTTAACGATCTCCTAAGCATACCGAAGGCTCTTTGTCGTCTTCCTTATAACCCTCCGATATAGCAACTATAAGCCTTCCTTTTCCGCCTCTCCGATATACTACTCGAAGTTATTCTATACTACTTCGTCGATAAAGGACAGTATACCGGCTTGTTAGAAGTAGAGCTAAGTAGGAGTAATACAATAGTCGGTTTAGCTAAGAGTTAGATAGGTAGCTAGTATATCCTTTAGCAACAACTGTAGGTAATAGCTCTACGTTACTAAGAAGGCTATAGTTAATAGGTTAGAGGTCTGTAATAGCGATAGCGATAACAATAGCTCTTCCTCTTAAGAAGGCACTAGTAACTCGGTAACCTGTCTAAATTAGCGACTTCCTATACCTATATTCGATTTACTTACCTCTCGATAAAAGTCGCCTATTACGGATATATTATTGTCTATAGAAACAGGTAGAAACAGTGCAAATTTGATACCTTCTATAGGTGTAATATACACCCTAGTATAGCCTAGAAACAGCCGACTAATTACTAATTATAGTTACTAATTACTGACTCTATAATTATAATTATAGTTATAGCGATTATAGTAACTATTAATTATAGAGTAATTAGTAATCAACAACTATAGTTGTATACAACGGAGGAAACATCCTATTCAAAATTAGCGATGCGAGCTTCGTCGTTACGATACTAGTTTATAGTAGCTAAACGCCGCGAGAATGTTTCGAGCGGAGCGATAGACTAAAAATAGGCACCTAGAGCAACCTAAGGAGCTTACGACGAAGGTTGTAGAAGGTGTCTGTTTAGTCTAGCGTAGAGCTCGAGAACAAATCAGATTGCTACTAATAACGTAGCTAATATTAGTAGTAAGGAGGCAGTAGTAGTAGTATTAGCGTAGGGGGGCTAAATTTTAAAGATACGCCCGCAAAATCGAGCGCGCGCTATAATTAGTTAACAATTCAAGTTACTATTACGTGCCCTCTAACCTTAGGTCCTATAACAAAGGCAATACTATAATGCGCTAATAGTACTACAATCCCCTAATAGCACTATACGCTAATAGTACTATACGATAATAGCACTATACGCTAATAGCCCTATGCGACAATAGCCCTATACGCTAACAGCCCTATACGACAACCGCCCTACGACAATAGCACTATACGACAACAGTACTATACGACAACAGTACTATACGATACCCCTATACCTGCCTCTTCCGTAACTAACGAAGTAACGACCTTCTATAGTAAAACAAACACAATCTATAGCGACCTTTAACGGTAAAAGAGGCATAAAGGAAGAGTAAGGATAAGTAATTAAGGACTTAGAGACATAAAGGACTTAGTTAAAAAAAAACGGAGAATACTAAAAGGCAAAAAAACTATAGACGGGCAATACCCGGAGTTACTCTTACGGACACGATATAGACCTCGAGCTTTTGACCCTTTAAGACACGTTACGAATCAACTAAGTAAATATGCCTACTAGACTTCGACCTTATACGCTTCCGAAGAAACGCCGCTATAGAAAACCTGTCCCGGAGAACTAATTTCTTTAGGTTTAGATAATAGGCAGTCACCTCTACTAGTTTATTAGGCTGCTAGCTGCCTTAGAAAAGACTATTAAATAGCTTAAATCCCTTAGGTTCCCTACGTAACTTAATAACTCGGCGTAAAGGATTACTACAACTCCTTACCTAGTTATAGCTAGGCGACGCTTCGTCTTAGTCGATTATTATTAGTTAAAGGTCGTAAATTGCAGTGTTATTATATACCCTTATTGCTGCTGCCTAGGGTAATAGCTTAGTTAGAAGGGGGAGGCAGGTAGGTAAGGTTTAAACACTATACTAGTTAAGGGTTTAATTCTGTATCTAGAAGCCGCATTATTAATATTAAGCTAGTATCGATATTAATACTACTAGGTACGCCCTAAACTAATACACTAACCTACCCTCCGAAGCCAACCGAATTGAGTCGCTAAACCTATACCTAACGAGGCTATTAAAGTAGAGGGCGGTTTAGTC